GGTGAAAGTTTGCTGGAGGGTTTGGGCTCACTCAGGGACACCTAAGGGCGATGCTTGATTGTTGTGTCTGTTCAACAGCCACACAGCCTACAAGTTTATTTTTTGTTGCTGGATGCTGGTGTAAATATCCTGCATGGTAGTGGAGTTGAAATGGGTAAAGCGACTCCCAGTGAGCCTCTCCAGCTGCTGTCATGACATCATCACACACACAGAGATGGCCGCTCAATCACTGTTGTCTGATAATGTCTTACTTCTTCTCACACACTTTCTCCCAGCTGTTTGTCTTCTTATGTACGACACATGTGGATGTGAAAGTGTCAGTGCTTATTTACGCAACATTCCTACACGCCTCTACCAAGAATAAGCAGCCACTTGTTTTGGACTGAACACAGTTGTTGACCCCTGCACGGTTTCTCTTGGCAAATGTGTGCCATGAGCATCTAAACGTAGAACATTAAAAGGTGAGAACAGAACCAAGAGAAAGGTGAGCCTTTCTGGTCTGCAGTCCTGTTATTACGACCTGATTTAACGTCACCATGTGGCCTGCATCTCTTCTCCAACCAATTTAAATAATTCACTATAATGAGCCTACTTCACGTTTCAAACGACCCCCAACTTGCTTCTTTACAGCTAAACACAGTAGACTGCTGAGCATACACATTTCACACATACAATGGCCCACAAGTGCCTCCAAAATACCTATATTTGTTCAGATTCCCAGCAAAGAACACTCCACAGAAAATGTGTGTAATTGCATTAAGAAATATTCTTTAAAAGTAAAATAACAGAACAAAAAGGATCTACTGATATCAACAAGTCCATACATAGCATGCATGACTCTGGACTTTCATCTTTACTCTCCTCTTCCGGTGGCTTTGAACCTACCCAAACTATTCACTCTATCATATTCACCCACATCCACGGCTATTAGTAACACTGCTGATTATAGCATAATCTTTAGCCTCTCACCCTTATTGAAGGGGGTCTTGCATGTGTGGAATGTCAATATGTAAGTGAGGTGCGTATCTGAGCACATATGGCCCAAGCATGCAATTATAATAAGGCAGCAGGGATTTTTTTATTATGACTTGATGCATAGTTACAAGACCATAACATACACAAATAATAATTTCATTACATTGGCCCTTGCTGTAATTATAGTGTCGGTACAATTCCTGACTTACACAAACAGCCTTGACAAAGCCCCAGGTGAGGTTAGATTCTCACTTTATCATTTGCTTCTCTCTATGTCAACATAGTATTTTCAATCATGAATAGTTCTTGATTCAACAAAAATGATATAATGCTGTGAAGCTAGGAAGCAAAGTAGTTGCAGCCCTCAGGTGTGATAGGCTGGCACTAAATTGGCACTGTGATTTACAGTCTCGGCAGAGCAGCATTACAGATTCTCTGAAGGTAAACTGTAAAAAGGGAAACTTGTTACCATGGCCAACACAAAACAGCTCCGGAAGACAGCACCTCCTGTGCGGGCTATGCAGGTCTGTAGTGGAAATGTAGACTGCTTTTTTAGCAAAAACAAGTATGTGTACTGAGAGTTACTGAGATTTCTCTGCACTGCCGTAGTATTTCATATTTTGATCTGTATCCAGATCCAGAAGCCAGGCCATTGTAGGATGCTGTATAGACTGTGTTATGTCTGTATGTGTGTATGTGTCCGTGTGTATTTCGACATACTGGTGTGATTCCATCCAAACCTTGCAGTCAAAGAAAGTGAAACCAGGAAAAAAAACAATAAGAGCATTTTAACATTTACCAAAGGAAAATAATTGGTTTGGTAAGATCTTCAATTTAAAAAGCTGCTATTTATCGCCTGACTATTAAATTATAGAAGCTTCCCACATCACATGAATGTGTCACAGCAAAATACAACTACGTTCACAGAGAAGACAACTTTTTTTGGTAAATGAGACAAAGCATTGTCTCAAAGCAAAAGCACTGGTCCTCACTCCTGTAAAAGCAGAATGTTAAAAGCATTGAGTAATGCATTTAACATTCTGTAGATAATCACACAACCAGACAGTGCAGTAAATATGCAAGCACTATTTTTGGTTCCTGTTATGTTTTGAAAAAAAATCTGCATTTCTCAGATTATGGACCGGGGCGCTGCACCTAATTATATTAGTATGTGAATGCCAGGTAAAAGTGAATGAGCATGCTTCTGTGTGACAAAGCAGTTTCCAAATATAGTATAGCATAGCATAATTGGCCATAAAAGTAATGGACTGAGTGTATATTAGAAGCCCATGATATTCCATCCAATCCAATCAATCCAATCCTTTAGGAATGTCTCTGTTTTTGCTTATAGACAGAATACCACCAGCTAATGGAAGACAGGATACTGTAGTAAGATGCAGCTGGTGGCAGTGATGAGGACAAATATAACCCCTCTCATATTCTACACTACAAAGGAAGAAAACAATTGTAGCTGCAGTCACTGTAACTTAGTTTACCCAAGACGACTGCCACTCTGACCAAGACAGGCAGCTGAAAAATTAGTGGATGCATGGATAGGTAGTGTATAAGGCCACACAACTATGTTTCCCTCTCTAATAACATATGGACAAACATTAGAGCTCTCACACAGATCCCTAACCCTAACCCTATACAGACACCTCGGATGCATTTACAAGGTAGATGTACTCATCCAGAAGCTTCTCAGCACATAGTGAGGTCAATCAAACCTAATTTTTGAGCGATCTTAAAAACATGCCCTTTATAAACCAGCCAGACATTAATTTTTGGAGAGCTTTCCTAAAATGGATTTCACCTAAGATAATTTGACTTAAAATGCTTAGATTAGTTAGTAGTATAAGCCTCTATATGGCTATGTTACAATTCCATACAGACATAATACTCTGTATTAAATATTGGGATTTATGATCTGTTGAAATCTTAGATATACGCCTCAACGAGAATAACAGTGTAACAAGGCTGGCAATTTATTGACTACATTACCCCAGCTCTTTGAAATCTGGCAGCACTGAGTTATTGGATATGGTGGTTATGGTTTGATAGATTACTAAAAGTGTAATATGGTGTAAATAGAAGAACAATGTAATCATGAAGCGGGGAAAATGCCATAAAATAAACGATCAACAAGTATTCTAGGTTTTGCCATGTGTACTTCTTGTTAACTGTGTTAAAATGTAACAAATGTTAAACACTTTTTGAATCTTGACTGTTGCAGCTGGAAATGAGCACCAGCTGAGATGTCTGATTAATGCTTCTTTTCATCTTACAGTCATTCTTTTCCAGCGATTAACAAGACTGTTCTGTGAGTACAATGATGTATTTTCAACAGATACAAGTATATAACAGGAAGTAGTTTGCAAAATTGAAAATAGCTGCAGTGAAAAATTACTCTGCCTTGCACACACCCAAAAACGGCCAACACGACAAGCAAAATCTGAAAGATTAAATGTAGTATTTCATTATGGAAATTCTTCCCATTTCTCATCTCAGCTCCTTAATCTGCACGTAATGATTGGAAGTCACGCAGGGAAGATTTGTAAAAGCAGAACTTTTAGTTCAGAAGTTTTCGGATCAGACTTATTCCATTGTCTGTTAAGAGACAGCATCGGCAACGAGGGAAAAGTTGAAAACAAGAAATAGGTTGCTCAATCTTACCAATGCAAAAATGCCTTTATTTATCCAACATTTAAACAGATTAGACCTTGATGTTAACCTTGTGGTTGAAATGTGAGATAAATAAAATCATTTTCACATGGGAACTGTGACTCATCTTCTTCTTTGTGTCTTACACTAAAAACCCAGTCTTCATGTCTTGTTCTGTTTTTTAAAATATAATAATTCACACAGCAACCATAATCTATGTGCTACTGTGTAATACAAAACAAATACAATAATAATAATAATACGTACAATAAAAGTAAATATAAAAAAGGCGTTACAAACTTACTCTAAATCAAGTTTGTTGAGTTAGTAAATGACTCTAGACTCTACTGATTTGTAAGGATTGGTATGCATTGTTTGAATTTGTGAAAAGGGTGTGTTCAAGCTAGAATGGGGTATTTAATTGCTCTTTAACTTACATTCAGACAGATTTTGTTACCTATGTATACAATGATAAAACTACCACTACTGCTAAAACTGAGTGTTACAATAGTCTGTTAGACATGTTTGTATAAACTGTCAATTACCCATAATAACCCTGCTACATGACACCATTGTGGAGAAGTGTTTTTTTCTTCTTCTAAAAAAAAAATAAGACTCACCACAGTCAACAGTAACCAAAATTAAAACAGATATCTGCATATGAATGAGGAATCTGTAGGCAAGGGACAAGATGTTGGCATAGGAAGCTTTCTGGTTTCTGTTTTTAGTCTGATTAGCATTGATCAATCGGGTTTGAGTGGGCTTTGGTTGCCTGCAAGTAAGTAGTCTGCGTGGAGGGTAGAAGAGGCAAAACACACTGGCCGAAGTCTAATCTCGGAATCCATCGGCTTATGACGATTTAGATTTCTTAAAAATGGATCTGCATTCATATGAAGATATATCTGTTTGTGTAGATTAACCCAATGTGTCTTTCTCGTCATTCTGACATTGCTAATTGCACTGCAGAGGATGGCTTCAATATCCGTTATCCAATTCCCAGATAGCCCTGGCTACACCACAAGCCCCCAAATATTGGCTGTTGCCCCAAGAGGCTAAATCATTGTCAGACCAAAACAATTACAGTCAGGTCTATCTTCAATAGAGATTTAAAAAATCTGAATTATATAAAACAATACACAACAATATTTAGTTTGTGTTTGCTGGTTGAATGACATCATCAAAAGGCTGATGTACTGAAAACACACATGGTCCTGACACCAAATTAATAGCAATGAATGTTTCATAGTTGCAGCACTTCGAGTCTTTGAGTGAATTAATTTAAACTTCTTGAACAATCTATTTGTACAGCAAGGAAAACAAACTTGTACATCAGAATTTGTGATCCATGCACTGAGCCTACTTACTCTCTCTCCTTCTCAGTGAGTCTGTCAGTGATGGTGTCCTTGATGGAGGAGCGTGAACCCTTGTGGATCACCGGATACCTAAGAGGGACCTGCAGGAAGCACGAGATCATCAGGACCAGGTGCGATGTGTAACCCAGTGCGACTGCCACGCTCCCGTCATCCTTTGCTGCAGGATACAGAGCAAAAAGGAGGTTCAAGTAATAACACATCAGATACAGTTGTGGTGAGCAGACAAGAAATGCTGTACTTGTAAATCCTTCTCAATGAGCGTTTAAAGTGATCTACATCAACACACACCAAAGCCTGTAAGCCTATAATCTAATGCAATTTCAATTCAAAACAGCAGTATTTTAATCACCCAACAGTCAGTATTGTATCACATCAAGAACTTCAAAGTATACAGTCAGCAATGTTTCCTTTGTTTGGAATGTACTCTCATTACATAGAAAAATAAATTGTGCTTACATAAACCATGTCCACATCTTGTGAATCCAACCCAAAAATGTATAAACATCAAACCAAAGATAGCATCTTAACCAAGTATTTACAGGAAGAAGAGCAGTTGCATTTATGTGGGAAAGTGTTTTGAAAGTAATACAAAATGTGGCACAGCACACAGTACCAAAGACCGTTGGCTGCAGTGGGACACCCAATTTCTCTCAGATATGTGCTTGAGAAGTAATCATCACGTAGTACTGAGCCCAAATAACTTTAAGGGTGGAAAACTGGATGCCTTTGTGAACATTTTTGACGCTGAAAGAAACAGCAAACCATCTCACTTTAAGTACGAGAAATGGTTTCAAGACAACACACTAAGTGGTTTCACATTCTCAAACGGCAGCAGGACACTGCTTGAGGCAAAGACTTCAAATCACCGTGGTTTTTATCTTCATGCTTTGAAATAATAGACTATGGCAATAGAGAGTGGTAGACTCCTTGGCTCATGCTGTGTGTTTTTCAACTTAACCCAGAAAGCCTGCTTTGGATCATTATTCTTCCTGCATTTTTTTTTTGTCCATGGCAACACAATCACCTGGGGTAAACAGCTTCCTGGCCTCCGAGGCTTTTGGATGATGCTACACACTAAGAGGAAAATCAGGTCAGCTAAAGGTGACACCTTGGGGTGCAAGCAAAGACTGCTGATATCTCGTCAGGCTGAGCTGACAAGGAAAGCTTAGTTAAATGTAAGAGGGCCTCAGCAGAGTGCCACCCTGTTTCACTTTGACCCCCAGTAGGATTAGGACTCCAACTAACCCTGACCCTGGCCTCTAATGTGGAACATCCTCCCCTGTAGGCCTGTTTAAACTGACTTCGACACACATCCAGACAGTTCTAGACTTGATCAGGCTTTCTCAAGGGCAAACCTCACACACGAGCGCGGGGTCAGCAGTGGGGTAAAACAGAGGTGTAAAACGCATGCTTCTCCATCCTCTCTGTTGTACTGGCTTTTGAAACATGTCTAATGGTCACAGCAGTTATGTTAGACGGTGAATATTAATGGATACCAGGATTGCATGGCAACTCTTTTTCTACATTTCACAAGCCACCTGACGATGAGGGGAGGGCATACAGGAGAAGGTTGTTAGCAGTGAATGCGTTAGGAGGTTCTCTGTTAGGCCTTTAATCTTCTGCAACAACACATGCTCAGTCATTTACTCACTGCTAGGTGTCCACCTATGCAGCACTGGGAGGCAGAAGCAGACACAGGCCTCCACCTTATGGGAACAAGTGATTGCTGCAAACACAAATGGGCTGACTGTCACTATACTGTGCACTTCACTGTGCTCTTAAAAAGATGTTAACAGGTGGAGTGTGACAGCGGGGAGCGGAGGAGATTGGGAGTGGTGTTTTTGAATTATGGGTTCAGAGGCCTGCCTGGGGTCTCACCAGCTGTGAGGAAGGGGAGCTGGAGAATGTTGAGTGGACAGTGGCTAGTGTGTTCTCAGTATTACACAAATGCTGCAGACCAAAGCTAACCATTCATTACCCATTCAATCCGACCCCAACCCCTCAATTCATCTGCGCTATTGAGAGGTCACGAAGTCATTAAGTTTCCCTTGCTGTGACAGCAAATCCCATTTATCATGACACATGCAGCGTGACCCTTACTCTAACCTAGCACACCAACATGATAACAAGGGCTTTGTGGCTCAAACTGCCTGCTGACAAAACCTTTTTTTCTGTTGGCTAATACTGTGTCTTTGATATGGGGTGGTAAACCAGATACAAAAGCATCTTGTGACAAGACTCTGTAAGACTGTGGTAGTGCTGAACAATTCCATGAACAGCCAACAAGCAATCAGAAAAGAACAAAAGAATGCAAGCAAACCTAGTTCTGTCTAGCTTCTCTGCCCGGCCCACATGCCTGGCTCCAAATTCCAAACTTTTTCCTTACTTAGAGTTCCAAGAGTTTTCATCTTCCCCCTATTTTTTTTAGCAACTGTAGATCAGCATGGAGCCTCCTCCCTCCTCTCTGCTGGTACTAGGCATTACAGGAACACTTGCTGACATTTTATTCATTCATTCTGTCTCTTTTTATTGCACGGTTGAGAAATGAATCGATGCAAATTATACCATGTCAGGAGGAGAAAAAAAAAGAAGAAAGAAACCAAAATACAACTCTGAAAAACAAAATACAACCAGGAAAGTTTGTGTGTGATAATCTGAATTCAAAGACTGTCTTTGCCGCAGCTCAAGCGATTACACTGATGCTCAATTATTGCTAACTCATGTCAGACACAGTATCTGAGGCAAGGCATGTTGTTATGTGCGTATATTGTCATTTTGATTATATAGAACTAGCCAGAGTTAAGAATAAGAATGTCAACCTTTCCCAGCTAGTAAAACTATTGACTCCTTGTTGTTGATACAATAATGTCATTATATCTTTTTGTGCATTAAAATGAACTACCTGTAATTATAAAATGATGCCATTTATGCATGTTAAAGACTGTAATATCTTAGCACAGTAATGCCAAATTGCCAAAAATAGCCAAACATATGATATCACAGATACTGTATCTATGAGATCATCTGCTTTCAAATTGTAAAACGTTAAATTGCTTTGCCTCACCAAACATCTACATATAACCGCACGCATTAAAGTTAAGGCAAAACATTTGTTCAGCATGCCTTACCACAGCGTATCCTCCTGTAACCCTGAAACACAAAAGCAGGCACATAATAAATTACCTTGAAAGTCTTCAGAGTTTGGCAGCTTCACTCCGCAGATGACATAATCTGACTGATTGGCCTGTGGATTTAAATAAGAGGTTTTGTATTAAAGACAATGATCGGACAGCAGAAACAGATCCAGACGATGAAACCCTGTGTGAGATGAAACAGCAGGCACTTGCTTTAAATCATTCCATCATTGTCTGGTGGTGTCAGCATTTGAAATATTTAGCCTGTATGCCAAATGTCTCAGAAAACAGTGCGACTGTAATGTGAATCACAGTTTAAACTGAAAGGTGATGACTGGATGATCTCCTAAAACACTAACATTCAGATTAAGGCACTTTAAAAAATAGAGAACTGTTGCACATGTAACTCTCTGCACGATTTCTGTTTTATCAAAGCCTTGGTTTTGTAACCGGATAATTCTTTGCAGTTGCCTTGTCAACAATGTGTTGTGCAGCGGCGTAGCATCAGGTCCAACTCACCACATCAATGGGGTAGATGTAGGAAAGCTCAGAGAGGAGCTGACGACAGCGGAAGGTGAGCTGGGCGTTGGACTTGAGGAACTGCTCTCTGGGGAGACAAAACCAGACACAGGGACGACACAATTAGTAACCGGCTGGCAGAAAGAGACAAAAGCTGCAGTTAAGAACAGAGGACGTGAGGAGTGCTAAGGCAAAGGAGGGACTAGAGAAAGAGCAGAGATGAGATCGTGAGGGACGGAGTGTAGCTGGAGGAGATGGGAAGGAAGTGGAAATGAGCCGTATAAATCATCCAGGCTAGTTACTACTCCACAGGGACCCACTGCAAGGCATAAAGGTAATTAAAGTTAGTGAAAATATAAAAGATTCATGACGAACAGGGAGGAGAGTTTATTTATGCAGCATAATGATGTGTGACAGCAGGTTAATGTTGCTCTATGCACAAAAATAGTCCAATCTGCTTTTCTCTAGGCCTTGTATGGATGAAAGCTAGGAGTCCTCTGCAATTCAACCGGAAAAATAACATCCACTGGTCATTTTATATCCATAATAGGACAGTCAGTGTTAGTTGTGCAGGGTCTTGTCCCATTATCAGAACGGGCAAGAGGACATTCTGCAATTTTGTCTTAAGGTATACGAGAGTGTGCATGTAAAATGATTCCAGTTATTGAGTACATCAAATACATCCCTGCAGCTAAAAAAAACAAAAAACGCCCTGCATTTAAAAGAGAGAATATAAGATGACTCTTCCAGGATATGCAGTTATTCCTGTGCTTATGTATGAGTAACACAGATGATCAGCTGCTTTGTATGAATGCAGTGTGTGGGTGAGTTTCTCTCTTTGGGTGTCCTCTACAATACTTACACCACTACTTGTGGTTAATAGCCCATCATTTCATGCAGATGAAAAGGGATTTTGGGGGGAAAATAGTTATTCAATGTGATGCACCCTCCCATCGCTTTTCACTTGAATTTCCTCTTTGGCTTTGCTTGTGGTTAACAGTCTCTTATCATTTCCTTTTCCCAGTGTGCGGCTGCTTTGTACAAGTGAAAGAGGAGATAGATTGGTGTCTAATAATCGTTTGATCTGAAATCACTCATCTGTCCAGCAGGCTCTGCCTCGCCTAATTGGTTAAATCCAACATGCAAGCCCTTCACAAACTCTTTGCCTAAAACATGCAAATTCCCTCCACTGCCTTGCTTCTTAATGTCTGCTCACAAACAAAATAGAAACAAAAATATGACTACAGACATTTAAAGCTTTGTTCGAAAACCTCAATAGAGTAAATTATCGACAGATACATCAATAATGACAACAGTCGTTGCAGCACTAGTTGGTTTAACACCTCAAGTAGGCTATGGGAGTCTAGAAAGATAAAGGTAAGTGCACATTCAACTCAACAACTGCAGCTACTACAACTAAATATACCCTGACTGATGCCTATTATCCCCAATTCTGTGAGAGAAGTTGTTCAATAGCAGCAGTGAAATATTAAACTAGAATGGGGATAGGCTGAAAAAAGTGTACATGTTCAGCATAACCTTTCCTTAGCTAAAAGTTAAAGAAGTTAAATAAAAAGAGACATTTCCATGAACAACATCAAAGACACAGATATTTCCAAGCAATGGATGTTAGGCAGATGTACAAGTGTCGGTGTTAATTTCCTGTTTGCTGGGTCTCTTGGCCCATGCTGGCCTTCCTGGGGCTCTGCCTTACCCTCTGTGACTGCCAGGTACTTCTCAGACAAACAAAGCCGTGTCCAGGGTCGCCACCCGCCGCACACGTCTCCTCGCAGGCCAAGGCAAACACAGGCCAATAGGCTTTTTAGCACAATGTGCAAACTCTCCATTGAAAACCGCAAAAACATCCCCTTGTTTTGAAAGAGCATGGTGGGAGGCAAGGAGCAGGGTATAGTCTCATCCCATTTCACATTGAGTCACACCGAGTGGGTTCTGGGTAATGTCTTACTGATTAGGATAAATGCATTTAAAAAGAGTGTCTTCGGTGCAGAAATAATGCTAATAGCTAATTACAGGTTCACAGATACCTCTTGGCAGTGCATTCCTTCTGCAGCTTGGTTAAGGAATCTTTCTCCTCCTTCAGACTCTCGTGCTGAGCGGAGAACGCTTCCTCTGGCAGAGACAGAAAAAAAGAGTAAATTATCAGGTGTGTCTTGTGTTCTGCTACATCTTGAACAGCCAGGTGGGCTAGTGTTTGGTTGGCTGCCATCCACTGTCAAACTTAAGCAAGATCAAACAGCTCTTTTGATCAGGCCTAAACCATTTCCTTTTGACACCACATAAAACCAAACAACATATGTACGCAAATTACAGGATTTGTCAGACCGTGTATACAGAGCTGGGCAAATAAATAAAATCAGACAGATATGGGACAGTGATGATACAGCTTGTGGTAGTTGTATAACTATATTGGCAAGCTCACAATACCTCAGTGTAGCATAAAAACCGAAAAGTATAATTTAGGTTTGCAACAGAATATTACAAACCTATAACCCAATCTGCGTTCATATAGCACTGCATACTGTGGGATGGCAGGAAAATGCAACAGAAACATGACTTCTGGTTCAACATGATTTTAATAAACAAGATATTTGACAATTGAATGCACTTTAACATTAAAAACCATTTGAGATTTCAATTTAAGCACTTCATTTAATTTTGATGCAATTATTAAATACAATCCCTATTGTAAGTAAATAGGTCAAAGTAGTGATTCAGAAAAACCAAACCACGTTTGCTACATATTTTTCCTTCACAGTCCAGAATAAACAAGAGAAGAGAAAGTGTTTGCTTATTTTGCGTTCTATCGGTGCTTGAAGTTGAAAAAGAAACAGGCGTATGGACAACTGCATGTGCCTTGCAAGAATTATTAAAACATTTGGATTTTTGTCCTAATTAAGAGCTTGTGAGTCTCAAAGGACTGTGAGACCCACCGTCAGGTTCAACAGCTAAAGGACTTCGGCTGTTGTATCACACTGTGATGGCGAAGAGAGAGCAGAGCCACAAAGCAAAGCTCCTCATGCCAAAAATCACATATTGTATGCTTTATGCTCAGACTGTGAATATAAACAACGCTAATGAGGTTTCTCCCCAAGGTGGCTGGCCTCACTCTTTGCGACAAGGGAAAGAGCTAAGCCGTGTGGGAGGACCCTGGTGTCAAGTCACTGCTCCTCTACAGTCAGATCAACCACGAGAGATGGCTTGGTCAAATTATAAGGGTACTTTTCAGGTGCCTCCATTTAAAATGCCCTAAGGACTACAGTGTTCAGGCTTAATGATCCCCCAGGAAGAGCGGGGGGAAGTTGGTGAGGACAGGAACATTAAAGGTGAAATGCACCGATTTTACACATCAAAGTTTCCAGGTGTTGGGAAGTATGACTGCATATGTGAAAAAAAAGTTGCATATAGCCTATTGTGGATCCAGATGGCGCTGCATGAAGTCTGATAGATTGCCTGAAGTGATGTCAGCGGTTGGATCTACAAGAGGGGGTGTGGAGTTAGAAAGAAGTGAGCTTACCAGACTTAGTATCAGACTGTAGCCTGTATCTCATCTAGGCTTGAGGCTAGACTAGCATAACCGAACTGAGATGCTGACCAAACTGTCTGCAATCGCCCTGCATTATGGGTAATGTAGGCACCAGGTTATGACAGGGAGGAAAAATTAGTAGAAGAAGACAGACGATATCTCTGGTTCTGCTGCATCAATTTTGATCTTTTTTGAAAACGGTTACCTCAACAATGTTGTAAGAGTGAAATGCTAAATCAGCCGAGTACTCTTTTAAGGATAGAAATTTATTTTATTCTGCTTATCAATTAAGCTTATGGATTCCTGGTTTCTATTCTTAGTATACTTTTTGAGCAAGACACCAGCAATTGAAAGTCACAGATAATGAAAAGTGGTTCTTCAGTGTTTCTCCAAATATATCTCAACCAAGCACCCAATAATCTCCATTAACATTTAGGCAACACTACTACAGGTAGGACTCTCCCTGATTTCTCATCTTTTATGCCCAGAACTATAATTAAATCTGTAAATAAGCTTATATTAATAAGCAAACATAACACTTCCTGCTGTTTCTCAAAGCTTTCTGTAGACATGCTCAGTGATGTGAGCAACTGCTAAAATTTCCAAACCTAAAGATATGGACATGGATTATTTGGAATATTACAGAGACAAATAATAAAAGAAAAAGCAGAGCTCTAACAATTCTGTTGCATGGAAAACCACACAGTGAAGTTCTGCAAAGTTTTAGCCACGGTTTCAAGGACTAGCTCTGGCCTATCATATGATAAATACTGTGCATATGCATTGAAATACAGTATATACATAACCAGAGAGGTACCATAGCAGGATGCATTAAGCTCAAAACCTCTCTCAGGAACTGATACGAGGAACCAAACAGCATATTGCTATTATCAGCTCCTATTTCAGTTCTACTTCTCCATAACCAACGCTTGTGTTTACCTGCATTCTTCTAATGAAAATGGAAAATCTTCCACAACGTCCATGGAGTGTTACAGTGTACCTTTTTTGGTAATATGAGTTCTAATCAAGCCTGTGGTCTACACTAAATTATACAGTTAAATGGGATAACAGCAACTGGCAGAAAAGTGTGTTTTGAACAATTAAGATTATCAAATCTCATTTGTGATCAGTTGGCTCTCAGGAGCTGGTTTTTATCACATACTTTTACTCACATCCATGCTGCTCAAACTGACATCATAAGGATGGAAGAAGAGATACCTTGACAGAGGCAGGAGGGAGAAAATAAAGGTACTCAGAAGTATCTCCATCAGATTAAATAGCAGTACAGATAGTCTGAGACAGAGATCAGACAGGCCATCCCTCTGTTGTAAGTGATGACATGAAAACATATTTTAACACCGACTGCGTGGGCCTCTTGCTTTCATGTGATGCCCAGCTGTCATATCTTTTCTATCCATCCATCTCCCCATGTTTTCATCCCTCTATCTGGTCCCAGTTTGTATCACGATATAGACAAATTACAGCAAATACTGATACATTATCTTTCACATTAAAACGAGCTATATGTAAGATTTTATCTTAAACAACTAAAAACTAAAAGTATACATAGAATGTGAAGAAAAAAGTTTTGATGTCATGTGAAAGATGTCTATGAACTGTGTTGCAGATATATCTAAGGAAGTGCTCATGCTAACAAGCTAGCCCCAGCACGGCCTATCTCGTACCACTTTGTACCTTAAGGTGATACTGAGTCACTGTACATTCAGCAGAAAATACAGAGGTGACAGAAATAGAAGCAAGAGTTGTGTGCATTGTGAAGGACATGAAGCTGCAAAATGGACACCCACACTGCTGGTTTAAAGGTTTGTTCAGACAGGTCTGACTTTAGTGACCTCTGTGTAAGAGTGTTCATGGACTGGGTGAGGTCTGGAACTCTTTCTAAGGACATTAAAAGTGACACTCCAGGGTTTCTGCGGCTTTCAACAAGAGGTAAGACTTTTTTAGAACATTTTACATATTTTCCCAAAAACCCATTTAAAAGCAAGACTTAAACATGCAACTTTATAAAAGTAACGTTAATTTAATTAATCAACTATATTAGTTAAATAATTATGAAGATATGAAGGATAACATATTAGACGCTGCATGCTGATTTGTAAAGAACATGTGTTTGTTTCCAACTAAAAAATAATCCATCAGAACATGCTGTTAAACCAATGCTCTCCATGCTAAATGAGGAAAAGGTTTGGCTGTGACAGAGAGTGGGATGTCAGGGGGGTTAACAAAAAAGCAGGAAAAATGTAGAAAATCATTCCTTAGTCAGTAAGCAGAGTGTTGGACTGCAGTACCTGTCACCCTTTATCCTCAGTCAAGATGGCAGCCAACCAGAGGATGTAAATGTGTAAAGCTGAGCTGCTGCTAAGGGAGCCTTAATGATGATAGCTTCAATATGAGACCTTTTCTCTGAGGTGACAAATACCTCCACACACCATACCTTCACAAAACTGTGTTCCTTACACTTGAGAAACCCAACCACTGACATTTATTGGTCAGGAGCCCTGGCGGTGTTACAGAGCGTGAGAATAACTACCGTTACTAAGTACAATAAACGCCATTCGCAGGCCTGATTTATGTCGTCTGCTCAAGGTGGACGGAGGGAAATTAGACAGGAGGAAATTGTGACAAGAGTGTGACCCCATCAAAACCAAACCCATTAATTCTGGGGGAAGGAAAGAAAGACTTCTATTTTAAATTCACAGCTGTAAAAGAAGGAAAAAATAGTGGTCATGCTCATATGTCCTCTGTTATGGATTGTGAAAGACGTGCATTTGCAGGAGAAGTAAAAAACAACAGCTTTACTCAAGTCTCCACTCCTGCTATGATTTCCCTCCCATTACTGTAAATCAGCAGGCATTGAACAGCTAGTTGTTAACCTGTCATCAGGATGATACAGACTGCTGATGTTTTTCAGCGCTTATTATGCCAACGCTGTCCAGGGTGGCGAAGAGGGAGCGCGCACACACGAACAAAGACAAACACAGAATAGGCATCAGCAAGTCTGCGACAACATTGTGATAGTTACTTTACAAAAATGCACACACCCAACTTTCATCTCATCTTCATCTGCTAGCTCACATGTAGTTGCACACACCTGGAGAACTGCGACTGTATGTTTGGGTTTTCTGGGCCCCTTATTTTGAGAGAGGCCCGGTTTCCTGGGAATAACAGGTTGATAAGAGCTATTTGCTAATGGGCCCTATGACTGTGTGAGAGATGGGGAGACCACACGGCCAGGTACAGATGAGATCCTACAGAGTGTGAGGAAGGCTGGAGAGTCCAAACTGGACACGCTCTGGGAATATACTGCCTAGCAATGTACTTACACATACTGTTATACTGTCAATAAAAACCTAAAAAGAAACCTGTCTCTAACGATCACTGGAATGTGTTAAAATTCAACAAATGAAACACTCACTTCTAATTGAATCAACATTGTCATTATGTGGGTATATAAATCATTATCCTTCCCAGGGTATCTATATGATTGAAAGGGACTTATTCACGTTTGTGTGTGTTTTGAAAGACAAGCCAATAGAGTCTCCAGTGAAATTTCAGCTACAATTGATAAAATCGTATGTGTCTCCAAACTGAAAGATGAGATCAGATGAAACAAACACGTTGTGATGCCAATCTAAATATAATCAGACACAAAATCAGCTGCTGTATGAAATACTGTAAACACCTGTCTCCTAGAGTATTCTGTCTGTAATTAATGCAGGGTTTTTTTCCGATAGGGAAACGAATGAATATGTGCAGGCTGATTAGAAGAGTTAAACAACAAGCTGGAAGTAGAGCAGAGCTCAGCAGCATATGGCTTTAGGCTTTTGAGTTATGAGTCTGGGAAAAAAACAACACGATTTTCAGCACAGTCCTTTTCAGCTACAGCATTTCAATTTATCCTAAAATACCTTTTCCCTCTTTAACCAGCCGAAGGAATTTTTTCTTCTGTTTCTTAATAAGCACTTGTCCAGTCTGGAAAAAAGCCATCAATGAGTTGCAGAGAAGGAGAGCAGCGAGTTCTTTTGGCTGTAGACGGAGTGGTGACAGGTAAAGAGGCAGAGGATTAACGGCCTTTTTTTTTTTTTTTTTTTTTTTTTAAGAATCGCAGCACAAAGGAAACTTCTCCCTGAACCCCTCTGAGTGCTCTCTTTGTGTGTGTGTGTGTGTGTGTGTGTGTGTGTGTGTGTGTGTGTGTGTGTGTATGTGTGTGTATGTGTCTGCATGCATGTGCAGACTTCATGCTAATCATTTCCAATCCCCACCTCAGGTTGGTGGTGAGATGAGGTGCCCTGCCCTTTGGCCAAACAGCAAGCTGATCTTACTAACACAAGGTCCCTACAGAGAGCAACTGGTCTACTTTAACAATCAGTCGACCAGCAGGGCTCAACAATAAGGATTGCCTGCTTGTCCGGGGCTAGTAAAATGCCACATCGGGCTAGGAAATCTAGCAACTAGCATTTTTTCTGGAGCTGATGATGGAAGTAGCAAAGGTGTGAGCCATCTTGCTTCTTTCTCATCTCTGTTGAGAGTTGCACACATGCAGTACCAATCAGGCACCTGGTGTGGCGTAAAGACAGTTTATGTGCTGAAGCGCAAGCGAGTATTTCAATTATATTGGAAACAGAAGTTTGGTGAGGCGGTGTTAGAGGATGTGACGAGACTATTTGCCACAAGTTTGAGAGCAAGGAAGATAAAATGGGTTCTATTGTCATCAAGTTTCCAAAAATGTTGCTGGAGTGCCCTAACAAGAGCCGACAGCATCTCGCTTGCAGGGCAGCTAAGAAGGTCTTGTTATTATTTGATAACCTGCTAATTAAACTATTTGTATAGGGGCAAGTCAAAACTGACTTCAGGTAAAGTCAGTGCATGTAATACATTTTGGAAAGTTGCGAAGGGACAGGTTCAACCTCCAACTTTGTGCTTTTGTATGTTTTATTTTAATGTTTTCTGATATGCCATCAACCTGCCAGGGACTGCAAATGAAAATGACCCTGTATGACTAAATCTGACACATAACATAATGGATTTAAGTTCTCGTGTTAATTAATGTGGATTGTCCCCTTTTAAATAAATAAACTTCAAACTTCCAACATACAACAATCAGGGTGTAGCTGTTGGTCAAAACAAACTTACTTTGTTATTATGATTCTGATTTGGTAGCTACAATACATTTGCTCTCATTTTAAAGTACAAAAGTACTTCAGTAAAGCCATCAGCAGACTCACTGTACAATGCAGCAGGCGCATATTGAGAAACACTAAATATGAAACAGTGGTATAGATGGGTGACAAATAACGAGTGGAGAAACATGACAAATGCAGAAGCTATCATACAGAACACACAGGGTCACTGAATGCATTGATGAGAATGAAGATGATGAACACCTATGGGAGAATGGAGAGAGTTCAAGAAACTATGAGGCTTGTGTCACCCATGTGTTGCTTAAATTGAGACAATAAAGACGTCCATGTGCTGCTGCAGCCACTCAAAAATACACTGAAATTACACTATACATCTTGGGGGCGAATGCAATCATAAAAAAGTGATTAGTATTTAGTATTAAGCAAACCTGTATCCACCTGCATAAAATATGTGTTTGGGTTTGTGTGTGTGTGTGTACATTTTGTCAAGCCAATCTTCAGTAACACTGCCTTTTATTTCCCTATGAACAGTAACAGGCGGGCAGCATCAGTCAGGAGCTGCAGACTTCACAGGGTTAACTAAATGACACCACTGCTGTTGCTTTAGCGGCCTGGCTGGCACAGGCTGCAAAAACCACAGGAATGGTTCTATATACTGTACATTATGTGTGTACATATGTGTGTGTGTGTGTTGAGTGACTCCAATCCTCTGACTGGGAGCGTGACAGAGGCTTCCTGTATGTGACAACACTCTCTACTGTACAGAGGTAATACAGCGCACACATAGTCTACCTGCTGCTGTCAGACAGCACTGAAACCCTGACCAATGTGTTTAAAATTGGAGTTTCCTGTTCAACAAAATCACATGGTAAATCTCGTCAATTTAAGAAATATTATGAACAGTATTTCAAAACCTAAATGTATAGACTGATGTGCGCAGTCAGAATCCATCAGCAGTGTACTGAACTTGTCTTTAACTTGTTAACTAACTAACTAACTAACTAACTGGTGACATAATAACATGGAAAACAAACTGAATTGAACAAAAAAAAAACTTTATGTACTTGATTTAACTGAAGTGATGCGACTGAGCAATATTACAAAAGGAATAATAAAGGAGTGTGATGAATCTATTTATTTTAATAAGTTGTATTGAAAGGGATTTTGTGAATTATTCTAACAAAAACATTTAAAATATCATCATCAAATAATGTACAGTCGGGCCAGTGCTTTCTGTAATATGGACAAAATGATGGTCTGTGAAACTTTGTCACAACAACATTCTCTATTCTTTTTACAATTAGTAGCTGCAACAGAGCCTTGTTATTCATGAAAGGGTTGGGGATTTTGGTGGAATTTGCTGCATGTGTTTTTACTATTTAAATTGAGTCTTACGCAAGCTGGATTTGAGTCATGCAGCACCATTAAAGACAGCAAAATGAGTTGCAGCATGGCTGACTGATCATCTCATGTGATACTTATGGAACACTGAACAGCCAGTGGCGTTCATTGCTATTACCACCAGTGTGCTCCTGTTAGCAGTCATTTTGGGGGTAAAACACTGATCTAGTGAACTGAATACATACTGAAATATGTGCTCTTATGTGTATACAGTGTTCACATTGCTGGCTAAGTTGCTTGTGGCTGCATACACTGCTGGAAAAATGAAAAGTATACTGACATTGTGTATTATTTTAGATAAGTACAGAAGAGCCTCAAGGCTGCAATATGACATCTGTAGGCCTATAACTATATTTCAGTGTAAATTCATCTATTCAACACTTCATTATCCATCATCATATTCATTGGGGAAAAGCTTATAACAATAAAACCTTTAGTGTGGCGTTAACAGCCACATTAGTGTGCCTGTTGTACTTGCACCCATGTGCTTTACCTTTCTTCTGAAGTTGTACCGTCTCCTTCTGCCGCAGGTCTATCTCCCTGCCGAGCGCCTTCCTCTGCCGCTGAAGTTCACTACGCAGCACGGCTATACGCAGCTGCATGCACTCGCGCTCCTTCTTCTGTTCAGAGAAAAAAAGAGGAGAATGATATGGAGAGAAAACAGAGGAAGAAGATGGAAGGCAAATATTTAGTATGCGGTCAGCAATTTTTTGTGTTTATTATCCTTTATAAAGAGCCCTAAATTCCTACTAGCTCCCCCCAAAACAAGCCATGTTTTCACAGGCTGATCCCAGGCTGTGTTGATTAATGTACATTTACCGAGCCAATACTCGCCACTGTCAACAACTAAAGACAAGAAAGACGGAGAAGGATGTGGCTATTGAAAACATCTCTTTGAGCCTTGAGATTAGTGCTACAGGTGAGGAGGTTTAGTGGTGAGACCAAGTCATGGGAATGGCTGGCAGCGAGTTAACAGATATGGAGGTCCTGCAGTTAACATGCAAGCAGCAGCTCTGATAAGATGCGAGAAGATGAGGCTGAAGGTGGTGATGCAACAACCAGCATCTTAGCACTGAGGATAGACGTCACAGAACCACATCTGTTTCTGGCGTGTGCCTCTGTTGCCAGTCTGGTGATTTTATCTACAAGAGCAAACAAAATACTCACAGCAAATGGGTAGCAATGATGTAATAATGTTTAAAGTGGAATAAACTCAAAATTTCTGCTGCATCAAAATATGAGTTATTTTTTCTGTACCCTACTGTTTTTTTGCTGATGCAACAACCCCATCTCATCAAGATTTTAAAAAAGGCCCCCTCTGCTACCGAGGTCTACCCGCACAGGTGCTTTCACTTCATTAATTTCATCAGACCTTTTTCTCTGAAGGTATAGGGTGTGTACAGACCTTGCTTGACTAACGCTCCTTCATACACCTGTTTATTGTGTAGCACCTGTGACAGCTTGTGGCTTTTCACAACAGACATTCTGACTTACCACTGCAATGAAAGTGTATGCATGTGTAATCAACAACATTAATGATGGCTGAATCTCTTTTAACTGTAGTACTTTCAAGCCCACTGTGTGCCCACTGGCCCTTTACTAGATAGAGAAGAGTAACGCCCAGCACACAGGAAACCACATACAAACAGGCGGATGTACACAAACCCAAGTGAGAGACCACAATATAGCCCATCAACTCCAGATGAGTGACTGTCTTTGCCTCTGTACCCACAACTCTCTGCTGGCGTCTCTCTTTCACCACATGCTCCCTGACCAGCAGCAGCATCAGAATGCAGATCATTAGTCAACATCTTGCCCTCTCCATAGGGTGTCCCTTTATCAGGCTTCATGTCTCTATCTGGTAGAGAGGGGAGCCTGCAGTGGGGCTAACCATCTAATGAGGAACAGCACTAGGGATTCATGGACTGATGGATGTGGATGTGGTATACATTAGATGAAGGGGAGAGATTGGAGGGTAACAGAAAAATACAATGAATAATGATAAGTTGAGATGAACAGATTTCAAAACAGGCATAGAGAGATTTAAGAGGCGTTGTTTAGGGACTATGTGGATGATGACTAAGAAATGCACATGTAATATGAGTTGGAGGAGAAAAACATGGAGAATGGCATGGATAATGGAGAGTTGGGAGGGAGGGAGTTTACTGGCAGGATAACAGATATTCGGCCTTGTGTTTGCAAGCAGCGTCTGCGTCCTTTCACACACTCACACTCAGATAGTGATCGTGGCCTGGATCAGAGGATACACAGATATGCTTCTTCTTGAAGACTTCTGAGGGCTTTGTGGCAAAAACAGAGAGGACTGATAGAGCCTCCATCTCTCCAATGTGTCGCACCCTGATGCTTGCATGTTAACCACCGCTGGCTTTGGCACGAACCATGAGCCTCCTACACTTTCACTCGGCGGCATAGTTGACAAGTGGGTCACAGCCATGTCAGTGTGAGTGAGACTGTAACCCACCAGCAGGGCCCCCGTCTGACTCGTACTGAACATCAAACAGCAGAGGGTCAGCTGAGTAAATAAGCAGCAGGCATGGGGGGGCATGTTATAACTCAGCAGATTAATAGCCGGGTGTGGGTGAGAGGGTGAAAAGGGCCATGCGGTGAGGTTGGTGGCCTCCACTTGGTCCCCCTTTGATCCATGCTCACTATGACGCGCACAGAAGGATAGTACAGAGCTCTCCAAAGGCAAAGAGGGAAACCCTTAGAAGAGCCACACAATGCTCCACTCACTGCAAGTTGCAGGGTTTAACAGAAAGGTAGAGGACGAGGATTATGTGATTTATTAGCTGATGTGAGCTCTGAAAAGGGTTTCAAGGAATGTTTCACCGAGGGGGAAATATCAGAGACGAGTTTTTGAAAGGGATCCTTTGTGGCAAAAGAATGGAGCCTCAATGTTTTTGTGGGAAGGCTTGAGAAGGCTATAGCAGAGCTACTTTAATAGGTAGGGTGAAGGTCTGGGCAAAGGAACAAAAAAAAGAGCCATATCAAAGGCTGATGGAGAGCATGATGGAAAAGCAACAGCTGTAACAGCTGTCTAAAGAGGCACTCAAAACTTTTACATTTAGTATCTGGACAAAAGCACACACACACACAACACACACAACACACACAACACACACACACACACACAACACACACACACACACACACACACACACACACACACACACACTTTTTTCCCAAAGGCAAGTCACTCTGGAGGATAAGAACACCAAACGTGTCACTGTCTCTGTCTCTGGGCTTTTAAAACAGCAGGGGATGCTTTTGAAGTGAATGTTTACAATAAACACAATGTCAAACCTGGGATCAGTGCTCAGTTTTCACAGCTGTGTGGCTGCCAATTCCAAAAATGTTAAATATGCTTTCTTGCTTTTGCTGTGGATCCTAGTGGAGGGTATGACAGGAGGTGAAAACATAAACAGTGGATTTTGGTCAAGGCATTATCGCCAAGGCAGGCGGGATATTGCTCTTACTCCACTTCTCAGTAGAGCCGTCAAAACAAAAAGATACAATAGCTGCCCGAAGGATATAATTACACCTCAAATTACTTTACATAACGATTACATCCGAGGATTTGGATGATACAATCTCTTAAATCCTGTTAAATTTTTAGCCCAATATAGTTTGCTGATATTTATTATGAGTGTAGATACCAATGGGCCTGTCACTGCTGATCACAGCGATTACTGCTGGTGTTAATGAACCTTCTTTGAAAACAACAAATCTCAAATTGCACCTCATCTCTCTTTATTTTCTCAAAACATGAAATTCTATACTAATACTGATTTTTACATATTTCTACAATAACATGAACAGATGAAACAACAGTGCCTGCTACTGAAAATAAGCTGTCTAAACACCACTGCTGATTTAAAGGCAAGTTGCTAATGAGTTGGAAAATGCTGCTGATGGGTAACTGGTGCTCACCCGCTCTGTGCAGGTTGCCGTCGTCCTCAGCTTTTCCTCGATCTCCTTCCCAATCTTCTGCACTGTCACCTGGGTCTGCTTGATGGCTCTCTGGGCTGTGTGAAGCCTGCAAGAGGAGGAGAACACAAAGTCACCCTCAGTCACCCTGATCATTGTGCAGAACCACACACCAGACCACAAAAACAACCCCATGTTGAAACTGTGGGTCCCAGAGGCCACTAAACTGGCTGGCATCGGTGCTATGACTACACCAGCAATCCATTTCATTTAGCTTGGATGTTTAGAGTGAATGTTTGGAGAGCATCTTGAAATATGATTGTACCCATGTGGAAGAGTCATTGTGCAGTGTGTTTGTTAATGCCTCCTTGTTTCTTTTTCTGATTTACTGGGGTTGAATGTCATTGTTCTGGCCCGACTGCTGAGTCTCCTAAACTGTAAAAGTTATTGACGAGTTTTGACATTAAACAAAGGACAAAAACATTATTGAGAACATTCCTAATAATAAAAGTCTAAAGTCCATTGGACCAGACTGATCACGTTCTTAAATACCACAAACCGCAAATATCTCAACAAAATGTTTAATCACTATTATTTTAAAATAATCTAACCACAATATGAGATCAAACGTAGTGTGATAGACCTGAACTAGAGTCAGTTCCAGAAAGCAAAGGCCAACGGATTAACTGAAACCACAAAGATGGACGCCTTAGTCCAAATGCCATGTCACTGTCATCACTGAAATAGGGAACAGCAACACCAGTACACAAATAACAAGCCAGCGCATTATTTAGACCATCAATCACATGGATAATTAACTTCCAAGTATGCTTTCTTCAAGTGCAGAGCCAATAGAAAAAGAGACAAACCCTCCCTCAACTCAGCCCAAGGGACTCCCAACAACCCATCTACAGACAACAATGCCACATGGTGGGAATGAGTTACAAGGACAAAGAGGAGAACTGGCAATTAGCAATCATTCTGTCAGAATGGTGTTAGATCATTCACTTCTTGCTGAATGTCTCAATGCCATGAGAGCTGGATTGCACAGTAATGGTCACCTTTCTTTCTAGATGAATACAGAATGGCTCAACTGTCTGGGCCCCAGATAAAGATGCAATCAGTTCTTCTTATTAGCATGTTTCTCATGTCTGAACTTGTGCCTTTTAACCCTGTGGTTTGGGTCATGAGGGTGAGGTGAATAGGGTTTTCTTTAGGTATGCACTCTCTTCTTCATGAAATTGCCTCATGAGTGGATTTAGTGGAAGAGGCTCTTTTTAACAGGCTTGGTGGGGTCATTTTACAAATCCTAGGGGGCTTTATTCTTATGAAACTCATTCACCTCTAGACATTACTGCCTCTTTCTGACCACCAACCCGCAAAAAAATTGCTTCTAAGACGATGTAAATTCCTACAGGAAAATAATTTCATATTTTCTGCCCACATTTTAATCTGTCTGAGGTGACAGTGATAGCAGTAGCAGATAGTACTTTGGAACATCAGGGCAAATCTGTTTTGACAGCTTCATCTGTTTAGGTGATTGCGACGGCAGAATCTGATATGGCCTTTTCCCCCAGGTGAGAATAGTTATCTCCTCTCTCCTTTTCACGCATGTCTGCCACCTTATCATTGCCTGACTCTTGGGCTAGCGCTTGCCCATCAAGCTCTATTACAACCTATGGGGGCAGGGGTTAGGGGGGTTCCCACAAGCTCCCTCACTGAGGCAGCAGTTTAATTACTGCGCAACTGTCCAAAGAACACCTTCTCACAAGCCATGACAACTTTCCTTTACCACGGAATGAGAGGTAACTTACAACACTGCCACAGGGGATTTGCAGGAAGTTATGACTAAGCCTGTGCACTCAACCCTTTATGCCGATAAACATCAGAAAAACAATAACATTTTCTCCTTTGACCGTGGCACTAGATCCTGCAGGGGTGTCAGATTAAACTTGTCCTTTTGAAACGTACAGATTTTTTGATAAACAGAAAGCATCTCGTAGAAAATCTTTAACAGGGGCTTTCAAGGTATAGCAAAAATACAAAGTTAAAATGGTGAATGTTAAGATTTACGATTAAGTACAAACACAAAATGGATACAACTGATGACCAGTCTTTTTTAAAGTCCTTTCAGTGTAGTTGGAGGGCAGCAGGCTTGGCAGCCTCGCTGGCCAAGGTCTCCTGTTTTCTGTTCATTTACCTTTACTGATTATCTTAAAATAAATATTTGCCATGGTTTACACGACGTGTTGTGGTCCAGCATCCGCAATTTTGCAATCAGGGCTGAGAAGAAATCAGCAAATGCAGATGTGTCCTCTGGCTCCCAAAGATATGCCAGAGAAAGACCAGGGATCTGAAGAAGACCCCAGGGAGTACACTGTTGTTCTTCTGAGAGAAACGAAGAAGGAAACCTCAAGAAGGCTACATTTAAGGCCTTGTGAATGGGGAGGTTTGAATGACAAGATGACAATGCACATAACACCTGAAGTTTGTTAGATGGAACCTTCCGGTCTTTCCTTGGCAGACAATTCCTTACCCATATCACTGCAGAGCTTTTTGTTCATAACAAATACTTTTGCTCAACTGCAAAACCTTTTATGTGTGACAGAGAGAAAAAAAGAAAGAGGTGCAGGCAACAGGTTGGATCGAGCAAACAAGAAGGCATTAAAAGTATACATGGTGCTCTCCCATCAGAAAGGTCTTCTTCCTGCTACCAAACCCATATCCCAAATGTATTGAACATCGTGTGGCTTGGCCAGTCCTCCAGCTGTTCATCACATGCAAGCATGCCCAATGCACTTGTCAAACAAACCTCGGTCAGAGGAAAAACAAGCCCAAGGACTAATGACTGTACTGAATTCATTTCCAGCAACCATAACCCAACACCACAAGGTGAACAGGGCAGCCAATTAAGCCATTCAGAACAAGTTCAGAGACATTTTGTGACAACAAATTGAGAATAATGTCCCACTATCACACCTCTGCCAGGGACAAAACCAACAGCAGCACAGTGGGAAAATCACAATAAACAACACTTCTAAATTCTGTCGGTATCTCATTGCCAAAGAATGTCAACACATTTAACTACCTGCTATTCACCCCACTTCACCATTGTCTCCATCTACAGGGATTGGAAGATAAGATTACTGGAGGTTCTTTGGCAAGCCTGCATATGGACTTTTACTCCTCCAGGCTGTCAGGATTTGCTGAGTTGCTATAAGCCGTGTTTACATGACAACTACAACAGAGATGCAGAGAAGCCAAAGAGATCTTAAGAAAAGATATCTTTGGTCTCAAAAGGGTCAAAAAAGGGGTCAAAAAGGGGTCACACACTGCAAATAATTATAGAAATTTGGATCCCCAGTCATCAGCGTGAGCTCCTTGCCCTCGTGGTACACTAAAAATCTCAAACGGTTAGTCATGGTTACTTATGCTGCCTGCTGTAAGCCAAATAACAAACAAAGAAAAGGCTTGGCTAGAAAGCAGTGTTTTATGTACAAAAAGCTCATATAAAGTTCTATTAGTCAAAGACTACTGTCTTTTGTTTGAGAAGCCAAAAAACACAAGACACAAGAGAGGCTAAGGCTAGGTTTTAAGTTGGGGTATAATTTTAGAGGTGGGAGGAAATGAATCCTACATCAACAAGCTGAGATAACAACACAAAGCACTGCAATGGAAGACCCAAAGAAGCTGCAACGCTGGAGACGAGAGGGAAAAATAAAAAAACAGGAGGTCTTAGCCTTGAGAGAAAGTAATTTCAGACAGAATAAAAATGTTGCAGGCCCACTGCCTACATTGAAAAAACAATTGTAGACCTCTTTTTAAATGATTCATATGGGGGTTGCTTTGAGTCCACTCCAGAAGTGTGAAATGAAAACAAGAGCACCCACATCTACACCTCCAGGGTGATTCAAAGCTAAGGCGGTAAGTTTGTGTCTGTAGTCTGGTTGCTTCTGGTTGAGGACCCCAGGGTCAGCCGTAGAGTCCGATCCAGCTGCCTGGTTAACGCAGGAACACAACAACGTCCCGTGTCCGAGAGCTGTGGTTGCAGCATCCAACCAACAGGTGAGTAGACTTCAGGGTCTGACTGCAGGAAAGCATTATCACCTCAAAAGCCTCTCTGGCATGAGAGACCCCCCACAGAGCTTCACCATCACTGTGCGCTGCTTCTGTTGACACATACTGTACATACACGCACACTCCACACAGGGACATACAAAAGCAAATCAGGAAACTAAAGCCACATGTGGCTCTGATCATGGGGGAAAGAAAGTTTCCCCTTCAGGCTCTAGAAGTTTGAGACAGGTTTAAACTGCAATGCCACAGCGCTGAACTGTGAAAGTTGTGCCCCAAGAATGATGCTTACCATGTGTCACGTGGGACACTAGAATAGACCTGAAACTTCAACATTCAGCATTGACACTGGTTTTGTTGTCAGTACAAATACTATCTAACATCTAAACATAAGCGCATAACTCTTAGCTGTCTGAGCTGAGAGTTGTGAGTAAGAATTTAGGGGTCACTCAAGTACTTACTTACATACCACTTCAGTGTAAGGTTCAAGAACATATAAGGCCATAAAAGATGGCCTCTAACCATTACAAACTGGAAAAGAAAACCACTTTGTTAATATACAACTAGTCCAATATGCAGCTCAGTCATGTGATGACAGTAAGTCAATTCTACCACTAGGCCCATCAGCTCTTCCCTCTCTTACTGCTAACACATTCCCATGGTAAGACAGAAGAGGGTACTTGGGATGTTGAGGAACATCTGAACCTGTATTAATAGTGTCTACAAAAGGAAAAAACACTTTGCTGAACAGCTGGTTCATCTTCATCACTGTCTTCTTGGCTTTCTTCCTACCCAGACAGGGGCCCAGCTCTATATAGGATGTGGCTCAGCCTCCATCTCAGCCTGGAAGACTCTTTGGAAGAGACATGACTTTGCTGATTGATGATCTGTACTCTCCCTCTTCATCTCTCCATCTGAGACGTCTTGTGTTTGCTAGCCCACATCACCATGCTACTCACACAGGCGACGGTTGTTGTCAACCAGAGCTAGGCTGAAAGGCAGACTGTGAATCTGCTGACAAATTACCCTCATTAATCAAGACCAGTGCCTTCTTAGTGAAGCAGCTCTCATCCTTTTCCATTAAAGGACTGCACTGGGCTAAGGCAGAGTGGGAGAGAGTTGGGTGAGAATATCTGACACTGTGGATGTTCCCTATGGGCATGCATCACTGTTCCTGAAGAAAAAAAGACATTTACTCAAAATTTTCTGGAAGAGGCACAGAAGAAATTAGGCAACTGGAGAAGAACCCTATTTTTCACTTCTCTACGTGATGAAAAGTCAATGGTGCAGTCCCACTAGCATACAAACATGAAATGCTATATATAATTTATGATGCAACTAACGCAAGTGAGCCAATAACAAAAGCAATTTCAACTCCAAGCACACTTCCATGAGCAGCACTCCACCTGAATGCTTCAGAAAGTTAATGCACTTTGAAAAAGGCAGAGCTCTCAGGTCAGAAACTGAGCAGTATATATGGTTATGTACCATGGGGGGTGGGAGGATAATCCCAGTTGGAGTGTACAGTATCTGATGAATCATTCCACAGTACATAATCATAAACCATGTGCATATGAGTGCACTGAGCCAAGGAAAAACTCTGACAGGGGTGAGGAGCTGCAGGCAGAGCAGTGTGTGGGAAGAGGGGATCAATGTAACTGTGTTAAACTCTGCAAAGTCCCACTGGATGTGGATAGAAGAAGAGGATGTGGAAGAAAGCTGCAATAATAGAAGAAGCAAGAGCAGAGGTCATAAAAGTTATGATTCAAAATGGGTTTTTTCTCCTGCAAGCTGCTGGGGAGGCAATGTATCCTCTCGTCTAAACATAAACCATGACCACTTCTAGATGAGGGAGCACTGTTAAAGTTCAGCTGGCTTTTGCATAACTTCTTCCATGACACAGCAAAGCCCTGTGATGCATTTATGTCCCCCTATTTAATTCTTATAGTAGGAAAATGTCAGTGAAAGCCCTCATAATGCTCATAATGACAGGATCCTTATCTTATTTTGAAAGTGCCTAACTTTAACCTTCCAGATATACATTTGTTTGCTTAAAACTGCACGTAATTACATTGTTAAATGATCAGGCTATGGTTAACAGTGGGTTTCCCTCTGGGGAAGCCCTGGTGATGCTGAAAGTAGTGTTTAAATCCTACCACATTTAAATATAAATATAAAACAACAAGCCTGTGTTTGTCAACAGATGCCAGAACTGCTGTATGCTGTCTCAAGCTCTTAATCACTGCACAAGGGGTCCCCATCTTACAAGCAACTTGCTAAGAAAATCTGTCTCCTTCTTGTGGTGTAAATTTGTACTGCAACCATTTTTCACAGTCAACATCACCAGGACTTAGATTCTAAATCACAAATCGGACGCCAGCCTAAAGATAGTGTCTTCATTGGGTTATGCTTAAATTCAAATGTTGGGGTTAAAATGTTCCCTATTTTTGTCCCATCATGCCCAAGAAATACTGTGTAGACTAACAGGCTTTGTGCCTTTATATGAAGCTAGAGACCAGAAGAGTTTCCTTGATAATGGGTCAAAATGTTGGCTTTCCTGTGGCACCCTCTGCTGGAACACAAATATGGAACACCCATAACTGCAGGAAGTGTAATCACATGACCAATTTAAAAGTAACTAAAAGATCTACTTGACGAAACTAGGGTGCAACTACCGATTATTTTCATTAGTGATTAAACTGTTAGTTGTTTGGTCAATGAAATGGAAGGAAATTGTGAAAAATGTTGATCATTGCTTCCTAAAGCCCAGTGTGACGTCCTCAAATGTCATGTCCAAAGACACTCAGTTTACTGTCATAGAGGACTAAATGAACCAAAAAATATTCACATTTTGAGAAGCTGAAATCACATTAGTTAAATTGAATTTAATATCTGACAATTAATTGATTAGTTAACTTATAGTTGCAGCTCTTGAAGAGTAGTAGTAGATGAGAAAAATCAAACATACTGTAAAGCATAATTTGTAAGTGGTTGAAATGATATAATATGATATAATACAGCTCATTAAAGTTGAGTCCTAAGGATATAATAACATGATGTCATACTGCTTGATGGCATGAACCTTACCTGAGCAAAGAGAAAACACTGTAGGAGTTCCTGACTGAACTCTGGTCAACCTGAAGCAGGCTGTTTTTCTTCCGCTCCGACAGATCCTGCAACAGCCACATGTCAGTGTTTCAATGCAGAACCCAAACAGTGTCCAAATAAAGCTAATAAGATTAGAACCGGGTATTCCATTATGATGCAGAAGCTCTGGAAAATGGACAGTAGGCTGTACCTTATGATCAAAGTCAGCTGCATAGTAGCCATCATTCAATCCAAATATGATCTCATTTGGATTCCTGGATCGAATCTGTGGACAAAGCAAGGCAGTAGAGGCTCATTGTGGGGACTGAAGCAGAGAGAACAAAGGACAGCGGGCATCTGGAAGTGCATGAGACTGAGCTATCTGTTTACGAGCTTTGAAAATAGTCTCGCTGTGAAAGAATGGCGATAACATTGAGTTACTCTACTGTATTTTATGATTGCTTTGGCTCATTTTTCAAAACAGTTTCAACAGCTATTACTAAGCACACAGATGACTGAATCAATGTGTTTGCAAACATTTCTTCTCATTTTAACATCATTACTCTAGTGAGCAGCACTGCAACATAATTGATAATTACTTCACCACCACTGCCATACATATAAAATGCATGGATAAAAGAGAATAAATGGAAAAGAAGGGAGGAAGAAATCCTGTTTCTTGCCTTTTGATTACAGTCAAAATGTTGCAAAGTCCTGAGTGTCTGTTACAGTAGGGGAGACTGCCCCACCAGGTGAGCTACTGGGGCCCCACATTGCTATTTTTATAATCTGCAGGCAATGAACTGCAGACTCAGGTCTGATGAATATAGGTTACTGTTGTTTTAATACCTATACAATGTTGTGATGCTCTGGTGAACTTACTGTGCCATGTATTACCTAATTTGATAGAGATGTTTTCATTTTGAGCGCTATGTTAGATTTTTGTGTGTTAAAACTGAGCCGAAGCATTTGTAAAATACTGTAAAATACTGTAAAACACATGTAAAGTACTAAAAAACATGCACCTTGTGTGTTTGGCCATGACATTAGATTTTCAGATAGTACAAACAATTACTTCAGTTTTTGACAAATACAAATGACAACTGTATTATATATTTATATCATTGAGACATACATATATATGTTTTTTGCTCTCACCACTCATATATCCCTATGTAGCCGGTACACACTTCCATCACAATGGGATCCCTTTGACAAAACTACAGTATATATATATTAAACAAATAAAGTTGACTATCATTATCATGTGTGGTTGCTGACCTGTTGTCCTGTGTATCGGAGGCCATCCAGATTGACCTTCCATTCTATGAGGAGCTGGTACTGTTCCTCCTGCCCTCCCCAGATCCTCACCACGAAGCAAGACACTGAGGTGTCCAGAAGGTCTGGCAGCATGCCAAAGTCCAGGCTCCGCCAAGTTGGATTCTGAAATGCACAGACGTATATAAGTAAAGACTAGCAGTGACTTGGTGAGGATAATCAGTGTACATAAGGATTGCATTAAAACTTGACATAACAGCTGATCAGCACAATAACTGCTTTATTTAATATAGTAATAATCAAACTTTAACTGAAGCTACTGTTTAATGTCAGAGAAGTAAAAACAATACAAGCGTGTTTCTTCATGTGCATGCTGAAGAGGTTGAATCAAAATCTGTGTGGTACTGCCATCAAATTCAATGTCATAATGCAATCCCTATCCTCAGTAAAGTAACTGAATCATCCTGTTCTCCATTAACTTTAAAGTCTGATCCCTGCTAAAGTTTGTTCTCCGCCCTTGAACTTCCAGACTGACAGCACTGAGTACTGGTTCTACAAAGCAATGTAGCCATTTACATCATTCAATTATGTACCATTTCCCTCCAACAGAGAGAAAATCTCTTGCTCTTTGTGTCACTTTCAAGGACAGGCAGGGAAGGCAGAAGCAGAAGTACAATCCACGGGGGGGGGGTAGAAAACAGAACGAGTGAGAGTCAGCAACGGAAGAAAAGGGGCACAGCAGTTAGAAGGAAAACAGGAAGACCAACAGGAAACGTTTCCCTAGACAAATGATGACGGGAAGGAGACAGAATACTTCAGAACGAATGTCAGCAAGGATGTTAAATTCAACAGGAGGAAGTTGTGCTGAGAGATGACAGGAGTCATGACTCCTGCAGTGCATTACAGAGTCTGTCTGCTCAGGGTACTGAACAGTACTCCTGGAAAGCAGCTTAGGTCAGCTCATGACTCGGCATCAAGCCCAACAGTAATGGCTTGCTATACTTGGCTGCTTCTATAGCTTTGTGTAGAGCTGCATGTGCCATGCAAAAAGAGTAGAAAAGAAGCCAAAGGATCACGTATTAATACACAGCTAGTTCATTTACACAACAGACAAAGGTTGTGTAAGAGAACACCACACATCATATTTAATTCACGTTGATGTGAGTCTGACATTTTATTCAGCAGAGCATGTTTCACAGCATGTCACTGTAGCTTAGCTATCTGAAAACCAGTTTAAGTGAGTTTATAGTGAAACAACATATTCAGCGTGGGCTGAATGTGTGACTGGCAGCAGGTATAAATACCTTAAATGCATCAGTAACATACAAGAAGCTTATCTTCCTTCATTAAGGCACTGCACATAATGACCAGTGTACTAACACACATTGCAACAGCAGGTAATAATAATATCTCAAACACATCCCAGGAAGCAGACATTAAGAGTTATACTCACCAGTGAGTCTCGTATGATTTCACTCTTGTAAAAATCTAAAACGACATCAAAGAATGCTGATTAAAAGGAGGTAGAAAACACTCATGCACAACCAACTTGGTTAAATCTACCCTAAAACACAACTCACAAAAACTCAGCTGTGCTTTAATCTGTCAACACAACACTGTAGTGATAATATCATATAGTGTAAACCCTTAAATCGGCTACACACACAGCAAGGACACAACAGTGACTTTATTGGATTATAGGCACATTCTGATTCACAGCTGGCACAGCTTGTGTCTGCAGATACTACATTTAGTGTCCAAAATCATTGCAATAGTACATCATTTTGATTTTAGAGTGGATTTTCCCATTAGAGATGATCACACATGTGCATAACAAAAGTTTACATATACTGAATTTGAGTTGTTACCCTCTATCAGTTCTCAGGAGCAACAAGGTGGAAGGTGTGTGTGGGAGGGGTGTTAACACTGACCTCGAGATATGCGGTCTCCTATACAGAGGTGGAGGGTGAAGTAAGTGTCCAGCAGTGGGGAACCATTCTTGTTGACAATGTTTCTGGCTGCGATGCTCCGGAGGTGACGCAATCGTCTCTGTTTGCCAGGGGAAGACATAGAAAGAGATAGCGAGAGAGTGAGGATAGATTGAGAACAAATAACAGACATCAGAGCTGTTGTATTCAGTTTCATCCTGATCATGTGATTGTCGTTGGTCACACTATCCTGTGTAGGCTGTTCTGAAGACACTGAATCCTAACTGGCACCCAGGACAAGTATAAAGAGGTTACTATAGAGATCAATGAAGTATCATAACGCCTATCCTATACATAAATATCCTAAACTCACACACAGAGGCAGCTGTGACTGTCTGCTAGATGTCAGCAGTTCAAATAATAGGGGCATGTCATCTTCATGGTTGACTAAGTAGCCAGTTACCTCGGCAGGCATGGTCAGTCATGACAGTCACATGAGAAATATGTCACAGTTTTTAGCTGCTCTAAAATGATTTATCACAGAATCTATATATCACAATGAGCTGACTACAGAAAAATGGGTCAGGATATCAGTTCACCTTAAAGCAAGCAAACCAGTGACGCAAAGTTAAGACAAGTGAAGACATGATTAATCTGTGAAAGGCTACTTCCAAAAAATGTATCTCTCCATGTGGTGCTTTTAGCAAAAATCTAATATCTTGATGTAAAATAAATGATGTCTGGAAATGCAGTGCAGCCATTTGGCATTTTCCCGCTTCAGAGAAACACGTCACCACAGCACAACCGCTCTCTTGACCAGCAGGCCCGGCCTCTCTCCTGCAGCCATACTGAGACTAAATCTAAGTCATGGGATACCCTATAAGATTAAGGGCCTCAGAAACAAAAACACTGATTGTTCTGTAAAGGACATTTTACCCCCCTTAAAAATGTCAGCGCACATTTCTGTATGTGCTAATGTGGACCACAAGCAGAAAGAAATGGATGTGAATTACCTTGTGCAGTCTGAAACTACTGTGCTGAGCTGGGCTCTCCAAAATAAAACTACACTATAATCAGAGCTCTTATCATTAGGGCTGCAATTTATGCAAATTTCATCATCTATTACTCTGATGATTATTTTCTAGATTGGTCTATAAAATTTCAGAAATTGTGCATCCTAGTTTTTCAAAATCAAAAGTTTTATCTTTAAATGTCTTGTTTTGTTAGTCCAAAACCCAAAGTTATTCAGGTTACTATGATATAAAACAAAGAAAAACAGGAAGTCTCCATATTTCAGAGGCTGAAAACAATATTTACTGCCACTTTCGCATAAAGAAATTACTTGCACTACTCGATTATAAAAATAGTCACTAATTGATGTCTAATTGTTGGAGCTCTACTTATTAGACTACAAGCTCAGACAAAGATCAAAGTTGGGACCACTATTAGTTGAATGAATGTCATAATGTGATCAAAAAGTCTAAAGGCGGTGTGTGACAAAGTTATTAGTGTGAAAAAACTGATAAGCTGGTCACAAGCCTTCTGTTGAACATCTGTAATTCCAACACACAGACGTCCCACTTCCTTAGAAAGTGGACAGAACAAACTCAATCAGAGCTGTATTTAGCCGGTGGGGGAATCACTCAAAATTAAACTACACCCTGATACAGAATTCATAAGCACTCTGAAAACTGATTTAACATATAATACCTTCATGAAGGTGATACAATTCAGTGTGTTTTATAAAGGTCTGTAGTCTGCAGGCTGTACTTTATGGTGTTGTTGGTAGGTATTTCTAATATCTAGTCTACCCTGTTTGATATATCATTGTTTCAGCTAGCTGCAACTAATAGACAACTGAGTGCATGCTGTTGCTATCACCATTCAAAGTACTGAATTATATACAGAGCCAAGCCTCTCCAACAGCTACAGTCTCAAAGAAGAGAATCTAGGGTGGGCAAACAGTAAACATACTAACTGACCTGGCAAGCGCTCTGCTACTCTGGGTGTGACAATTTCATGGCTGCCTTAGGTAAACACATAGTAATAAAGAACTTCATTCTACATGGTCTTTTGGGATATATATATCAATTCAATAGGAGATTGCAAAAAGAACATTCTTTTAGGAATACTTTCAGTTTCATATCGCACAAACAACCGTGAATTCAATTTTACACACAAGAAAACATTTTCTAAAAATAACTTTACACAACATAATGAATTCATCTCTACATATAATATTCTATATTGTAATTTCCATATAATAGCCATAAATGGTCTTTCCCAAAGTTGAGACCAGATAAACTATGCACACTCAAAACCAACACAGTTCGCCCCTGATAAATTAGCACTACAGCAAAGCAGAGCAAAGCAATATTTTAATATGATATTGATCATTCATATATATACTGATATATTATTATATTATTGATATACAAAATTGGGATTTGGGTTAACCTTTTCTGTGTGTACTGTCCTCTGAAAGCACCAACACTTATTTCAGCACTACATTGCTATTACTTTGATACACACAGAAGTATTGGGTCAGCAATGCAGTGATGTTTTGTTTTGTCCATATCACACAGCCCTACACCAGATCGAGCACTTTCATTCTTTCGTTTTCATTTTGTTGAGCGTTGGTTTATTTGAAGTGCAACGGCAACTTAAACAGTTTGGCTTCAAGTTGTTTTAAATGAACAAGCAGTTTTCATACTAGTGCAGCTGTAAAAAAGATTTTATGCTCACATAACCAAAATGTAAACGCAACAGTAATGTGAAGTGCACTGGTCACAGCCTTATGACCTTATGATATCCATGTGGTCACAGAACAATTATGTAGCATATGAGCACATGACATTTACATAAATTAAGCACTAAAGATAAATATGCTGAGGAAGTGTCGTTTCATCCAAATTACAGTGACATGTATGTTTTGTATATAGTAATAATTAGATTTATTAAAACTACAGAAGTTGTGTATATAGTAATAATTAGATTTATTAAAACTACAGAAGTTGTGAGATCTCTATCTGAGATGTCGGCTGCCAAGTGAATACAAGGCAATATAATATAATATGAGGTAATAATACAAAGTACATGGAATTTTGCTGCAGATAAATCGGGAACAGTTTATTTGGACAGCTCACATACAGATTGTCTAGAGAGTATTTGTAACATTTGTAATGTTTAACAGATTATCATGAACATGAACATACCCCAACCAAGATGTTTGTGTGCCTAAACCTAACCAACATTTTATTTGTGAAACAGCTGAATTGTTTAATCTCAACTAATAAGCTGTTGAAATGTTACAAATACCCTATAATAAGTTGTGTATTTCTAATCTGAATAAGAATGGAATATGTTAACCCTGTCCATTGAATTGAACTGTTGACACGGTTTGAATTGACACCCATCCAATCATGTAATGATACACTTAAACGTGGGGTATGCATTTCTAATCCAATGCACACTTTTACACTTTGTCATATTCAGCAAATATCTCCTCACAATCCGTTAGTCTTTCACTCTGTGTGTGTGCTAAAAAATCCAGTGTTTGTACACGGCCGGGTTCTGTAACTTAGATACACACAAAGTGGATCGGACAGAGGCACACAGCACTAACTTGTTATTCCAGCCATTCCAGCCAGGACTTGAGTGTTAGGTAAGATAAATTATTTGCCCATGGACATTCATCTTATTATATATGTCATTGTGAAGTTAGCTATAGTAGCAAGAGAGTTGTGAGTATTGCTGTCTGGAGTTGGTGGGCTGGCTCTCGTCCCCTCAGCATGTTAGCTGCAAACTGGCAACATAGCTAACATTAGTTACATTACTTGCTGTGTAGTTATTGCATTTCTCCAGAAACACATACCCACCTTTAAACAAGGGTCAAATAGTTCGATTTACTGCTGTATGGACAAACTCAGTTGCAGGCCCTGCTCTCCTCATCTACTTTGCTTTGTAAGACCTACTATGCGGAGTAGCTCATACTAAGCAAAGAATGCCACTCTGACTGAAAGCTGAACTTCCTGCTGTGTCAGGGACACCCACATTATGATCCCCAACGATATTCAAGAACAAGCAGGACAGCTTGAAGAAAACAGCTCTTGTACAAATAGCAACCTGCAGGTTGCTACTTGTACAAGAGATTCTAATCTGATGAATCTGAGACAGTTTCACAATTTACTAAAGTAAACTTTTGCCCATACTTTTGCTGTGAATGTGGAGCAACATAGGAAATGATCTACAGTATAAAACCTTCTCACTGAGGTGGACTGAGGTGGTCTGATGTACGTCTGTAGCTGAAAACCCTTGCAGCATAGATATTTGACTCGCCGGATGCTGTGTGCAGAATCAGATCAGATGATGGTGGCTCCTAAAACCGCACAGCAGTGCAACAAGCTAATTCTGAAGATATGGAGATATCCCACAACATGGAAAGCCCATTTCTCACTACAATTAATATCTAGCGTCTGTGAGACTTTGATGGACCGATGCTACAGCCTGAGGTCGGTGGCCCTATTGAATGAACTGTCAACGGCCAACTTTTACACGTCGTTTCAAAACGAATGAATGAATGAATGAATGAACAGACGGAAATGAATCTATAATGCTTCCAAAGACTCCCCCGACTTTAAGAAAGCTTAAATTAAATCAGTTCCTGGTATAGAAGTGTATTGAAATCACAATAAAACAAGCTGTAGGAGACACTATAACAGCACCGTAATGCCGTTTCCCTAAAACTGAGCTGTCACCTGCGTGCTGACAGAACGTTAAGTTAAGTTACCATTAGCAGAAGCATACTAGCTTCGTACTCAATTAAACTTCTAGAATGATATATATCCTCAAAACAGTACAACACGCTGATAAGGTTGGGCTTAAAAATGCCTAACACCAGCCTAACTGGTTTTAGTGTGCCAGCGGTGTCAGTGTACTTCCATTAATTTCTAGTAAACTAGCTAACTGCAAGCTAACAGTTGCTAGCTAACTAGCTAGCCTGGCAGGCCTGCCGTGTTTCTCCGGGCAGCAGTTGTATCTGACGTTGTAAACAAGTACATAACAGACTGAGACGGGCCGGGCCAAGTTCCCCTGAGTTCATTTTAAAGCAGTTCGTATTAACATGAGCTCGGGCTTTGCATTTACCTGCTGGGATGTGAGCTCTACATGTAAGGCTCGAGAGGATGAAGCTCCAGAGTTGGTGACAGAGGCGGCGGGGATGGCAAGAACCCGACCGGTGATGGAGTTCATCCTCCTGTCGGCATCTAGCAGCTCCCCCTCATTCAACAAAACACCCCATCCAACACATCCAGGACACTCTGTTTAAAGTTATCGAAGCTCCAGGCAGCCGCCAGAGACATGCAGACACGGTTGTTTGTGTGGGCAAAGTGCTACAGCAGCTGTCAGCTAACCAACGGGACGTAAACAAAGTACGGGCTATTTTGCTACACTTGGTTCGGAAATCCGTCTCCGGTTGGGAGGCGCGACGCCGAGGCTCCTGATTGGCTCAAACTAACGTATGTCATGTAAAGGCGGTGCTTGCCACTGAAAACGCGTGCTACTATTGGTGGTATTATCTGCTAATCTTCCAGGGTGGGCGGGTGTCCGTTGAAATCTGTCAAAGCTGCAAATAATGAGGAAGTTGCATAGCACAGCGTGACATGCAGCTGACAGTTCTACGGTAACGTCCAGGCCTTTTCTCACTTACAGTCTCCATTAGAGCTAGTGCAAAAAGTGACGAAAACTATTCAAAGTGCTCTTATACAGACCATCCCAGGGGCTCTCGTGAACATTATGCCACATATGTTTGAATGCCCAAACATTAGGCCATGAACCAACACCGGATATAGGGGCAGCTTGACACTATTGAGTGTGAAACATCTGATCAGTAATGTCCGAATTCTGTTCTCTATTCGGCTGACTTTATGTGCATAAGACCACAGTAACATTCAATTATTTCTCATCTTGCAGCAGGGGAAAGAAAAAGACCTCAGAGGGCCTCTGGATCCCAGATCAACACCGCAGTGTAAAAACACACTAAAAGTCCTGCATTCAAATTATACTTGAGTAAAAGTAGATTAGTATTATTAGCTCAAGTGTACTCAATGTATAAAAAAAAATTAAAAGTAGGCCTACTCGTAATGCACTTTATTTTATTCAAAGTGTTTTGTTTTTGTTTATTTTATATGTATATTATTTTATTGTATTATTATTATTATTATTATTATTATTATTATTGATTCATTAACTTATAAACAGTATTATAATATAGTTATTGTTGCAGTCGAGCTGGAGCTGATTAGGCAATAATTACTTACTGTTGGATATGCTGTGCATGTGAAATGTGAATCAGCAGTGTAACACATAACTACAGATGTCAGATTAATGTAGTGCAGTAAAAGTGTAATGGCTCTGTCTGAAATGTAGAGTATTTAATAGTATAATGGGAAAATTCTCAAGTAAAAGTTCCTCAGAATTGTACTCAAGTACATCAATTGAGTAAATGTATGTGTTTCCACCACTACTGGATCTCCAACTACTCTACATCTAGTAGAGTGGTAGTGGGACTGATTTCTATGAGCCTTTATCACCCTGGCTGCAGAATATTAAGCAACCATCAGGGGGCAGCATCAGCCACATAGAGGAGTTCTGTTTCCACTAGGTCATTGGACTTTACAAAAAGTATTGATTGCTTTCTGCTTTTAGGAATACTCTGTACTGGAAATAGCTTGTTGGTGTGCAAAACAAGCTTTTTAAAACCACCGATACTGCAGTCAGATTGTCCAAATATTTTTATACTGAACATTTTTTTACCAACATTGCCCAGTTTTCAGCACTTAGTATTTCCATTTTCTACTACTTCATACTTAAACTCCCCTACATTTTAGTGGGACATGTTGTTCTACATTTATTTTACAGCTAGTTACTGGGTACTCTGCAAAGGACAAAGATTGCAAATATTATATATATTACATTTACGTATATATGTATGAGGTATCTGTATGTATGTACATATGTGTAGACCTACAGTATATTTGTGTGTGTGTTGTGTGTATGTATGTACAGATATTTTGAGTGGATGCTGATGCCCTATACTGCATCATTTGATGGAACAATGAGACTTTAACTACAAAGGCAAGCTTTCCTCTTCTTTCATTTTTTTGTCTTGTCCTTGGATGTGTGGATTTGACTAAATCATTTTTTTTAATGTGTATAAAATGATCTGGAATCATCTGGAATATTTGTATTGGATGATATAACAATGTGTTCTGCATTTGTAGATTTCACTCAGTGTAAACATCATATACTGTATCTTGGACGTCTTGTGAAGTGAATGAGAAAATGTTGTACTATAGAGAAATAGCTCTACAGAAATTTGTCAAAAGGTAAACAGTGTCCAAAACAAGGCACAAACACACACATCTCCTTCTGAAAACATACAAAAGTTTAATTTAAATATTGGCAGACAGATGATGCCATTCGTCATATAGACAGGTCTCACTCTTTATTCCTTGCAGATTTATTGCACATGGATTACGCTGCTCTTTAGAAGAAGTCACAATGGTGAAACCACAGGAATTTGCTCTTCAAATGACAATCTTAGAATTTACCACCCATCAATTTGACACAAGCTTACTTATTTTGATGATTCCCAGGATATAGTCTATACTCACATACTCTTATTTTACAAAAGTATGAGTGACACCCTCAAACATAACATAATACCAGTAATAAGACCGGTATAATCCCTTCCTTTTCAATTATCACCAATGGCATGGATACAAAGAGATCCACTTTATACCAGGTTCATCAAACATCAGGATTTCCATCCACAAAACTTCTCCATCTGTAGCTCAAAACCTCTCCATCTGTAGCTCAAAACTTCTCCATCTGTAGCTCAAAACTTCTCCATCTGTAGCTCAAAACTTTCCAAAACGCTTGAAGATACAATACATCACTGTGGTTTTTGTTGCATGGACAAAAACACCCCCATTCAGACACCAGTTGGACAAGAAAGGGAAATCAAACCAAGCAGCACCATATTGGAAAATTCTCATATCAAAGGCATTCAAGGTAATCAGCAATACAAAAAGTGCATCAGAAATATTCATTGAGGGACAGGCACTAACAATAGGCTTCTTCCACTCTACAGAATACAATTAATACTTTATGGCATTATACAATCACAGGCACACATTTATTGTGTGTTCACAATATAAATCCACCCTGTAGAATTTCTTCACTTTTGGCTTTCATGCAGTAGAAATACATGCATCTGTGGGGACAACATAGGTCTTTGGCTCAATTAATCTTTGGGCTTTTTATCCAGTGATAAAGTGGTACCTTCCACTTGCATTGTTTGTGCGTTCAGCATATAGTATCTTAAAGAGCTTAGGTAGAATTATGTTGACACATAAGTGAAAGAAAACATTGGCACTTCGTTTCAGTCCTGCATGTTACCTTCCAGCTCCATCTAGTGGAACTCACCCCCCTCTGCACTGATAAGATTCCTTCATTGAGAAATATAAGAAACAACAAAAAGGCACACTTTTTGATGTGAGATTTGATGCAACTTTGTCCAACCAAGACTGTTTAAACCTGATGACAGTAGCAGGGAGAGGTGACTATTCTCAAACCTGCCATTTCCTGAGAAGGAACAGTGCTTGTGTGTGTTTGTGTGTAACAATGCAGAGAGCAAAGGTTTTCTTTAGCAAACATGCTTGTGTGCAGAGTTTGCAGTCCAGAGATAATCCAAACCGGGCACCAAGATTGGATATAGACAGGGTGGGAAAGGAGGACGGGGGGGTATTTGAGGATGCTGCAACAGTTCAGAGCTTCAACAGGGCCCCCTGGTCCTTTCACTGGATGTGCAGGACGTCACTCTCTTTCAGGCCAAACCGGGTCTTGTATTTGTCAAAAAGGCACTGGAGGGACTTGATGTACATTGCATGGTATAGCTCCACCATCTCCTCAGTCGGGTCCTCAATTTTTGGCACTGTGATCGGCTCCCCAACTAAAACAGAACAGGAGACGATTAAACCATCAGTGTTAAATAATACACTCTTGTTGGAAGTTGGATAAAGCAAATACTGATTTAGTCTATTCTGCTAAGCTTTTGACAGTTTGTTGGTCATTGTTAAACTGTACCAGAACAGCAGAGTATTGGGGAATTTATTTTAAAGGTAACTAATATGTACCTCTCTGAAATCACACTAAGCAAACTTTAGCAGACAAACCTACCTATGGTGGTGATAGGATTGCAATAAGGCACGATGCCCCACGTGTTGCCAAAGAAGAGGCCACATCCATGGAAAAGGCATGGGGCAAAACCTAAGATCTTCTGTAACCTCCTTTGGAGATACCGCCAGTAGGTCCCCTCCTCGAAGATCACCTGCTTGTAGGCATCGTTCTCTCCGAAGGAATACACTGGAACCAGGTCAGACCTGAGGAAACAGAGGAGGTAACTCAACAACTGTCCCCCGAATGTACATTGCCCAGAAGTATGTTTCTAACAAAGTAACATGTGAATTTCTAACATTACCAACAACAACAAAAAAAAATAAGTAAAATATATCATATATAAAAAAACATGTCTAGTGGTTGAGACCTAATAAATTTAAACAATAAAAAACGTTGTAATACAGATAATACATCTTTTCAAAAACACAGAAAAGCTATTTACCAAGCTTTCAGACACTGCCAGTGTTAAGACAGAAACTTTACAGACTTGTTCTGTCATTGTTTATATAACCTAAATTATATTCCTTGATATTTTTATTGTTATATTACAGTCATAACTCTCTAATGGCTACCCTGGCTTTGAAAACAATTATCACACTTAAAGGCTCACTTGAATGCAAAGCACATCTGTGATTACCACCATACAGAGCTGAGTAATATACATGTCTCTACAGGAGGGCAACTTAAGTTGCAACACAACAAAAAGAACCATCCAAAAGGAAGTTGCTTTTGTTGTAGCTTTTTGTGTGCAACGTGTTAATAATCATGAAACAGTTGATCTTGCTGGTCACGTAGGCTGACTTTTGTAGTTTCCAGTTGCAAACATTTCTCATGTTTGTGTGGGTTATTGTTGGTGAACCATTTTTGTCTTGGCTAGGTGTAACAATTATGAAAGGGCTTGTGTAATCAGGACATTTTCTTGATTAATATTAGTTTAATGTGCTTTTGATCTGTAGCCAAGTTTGGAATTTAACATTTGACCAGAAGCCCAAACACATTCAAAGAAAGTTTTGAAACTAGAAAACTTTCAGAACTCTTCATTTCATTTGCAGATTTGTTCCATCTTTTTTCATTACCACTTGTTCCCATAATTTTTGGCTTGTGATCCTTTAAAACCATACAAAGTCAAGTCACAACCCCTCATCAACGGTTATATATTTCTATGAGCTGTGAGCACTTTAAAGAGTCATCTACAATTTACCTTCCCAGGCTGTTTAATTTG